AATGTCTAAAGGATTATATCTTCTCTAGAGGCAGAGAAGGAACAAACTTTGCTCATATAAATTCTATGGAATTTTACTCTCATGCACGTAGGGAGGAAAAGAAAGTCATAGATGAGCAACCTAAGCATTTTTTTAAACAAAAAGTTCAAATCAACACCTTGAAACTCTCTCCTTCCAATTATTTTCCCTCAAACAATGTTGGAGAATTCACATCTGCATATCAAAAGGCTTAATTAAGCCAATAAACAACTTAAATAAAGACAAAAGGAAATAAATATGTTTCATAACCTTACCCTCTTCTACGTGCTTATTGAATGTGGTATTTTCGTATATTTTTAAATGTGGTTGACAAAGTCAAGCCAACCAGGAATCAATTGGCTTTGTAAAAATGGAGGGAAAGATAAAGCAGTACAATAAACAATGAAAAGTCTGCTGAGATAGCTGACTTATCTGTGCCATGATATAAGTATTTTCTAAAAGTTAAAAAAAAATACAGGAGAAAAATGAATGAAGTTAGAACATAAAAAGAAATCAGGGGGTTTTCTGGGAATTTTCCAGAAATTGTAAATTCTGGGAATGGTTAAAATTCTGGAAATGGTAAAAAAGAACCAGTGGCTCTTTGGTAACAGTTCTTGAGAAGCCATAATTTCTATCTCAGTGCAGTGGAGCTCCTGGAAGTCCCATTACCAAAAAGAAATACCAAAGGCTAAAAAAGCTTATTTTAAATTTAACATACAAATTAGTATCTTATACTTTTCTTTTTATTATTTCTGAGTCCTTAACCATAAAAACTTTTCCCCTTTTTCCCTTTTCCTAGTGGAACTCAATACTCCTCAGTGCTTTCCACTTCACTATATACAGAACTGTTTCTAATGAGCTGTTTTTACAAGTTTTAGTAAAGGAAAACAAAGACCTGCAACTAACTTCTCCTATATAAAGATGCTTTCTTGAAATAAAATTTTAAAATACATTGACAGTGCTGCTGAAAGAACCTTCATTAGACAGTATTTTGTTGTGAGGTGAACAGAAGACATCAATTGTGGCTTTGTTTATTTAATGCCTTTCAGGATGAAGCAACTGTATTCAGCTTTTCAAGATTAAATATTGCAGGTCAGTAATCCTCACAGAATCTTAATGGCTGCTCTACCACACATGACAGACCTCAATAAACTGACAAAAGAGAATTTGAGAGAAATTTAAAATATACTTATGTCATTGGAATACAACACAAACAATGATAACATTAATTGAAACAATGTATCTGTGCCACAGATAAAACTGAAAAATCATTATTTTGAAACTTGCCTTTCCTAGCTCTTCTAAGAGTCACATACATCCTGCAGCTAACTGGAAATCTATAGTCCTGCAGTAATGCAAGGCATATTAATAATCCCAGTTTGGGGTTCGTTTGAGCCACTAGTTTCCCAATGAGTGAAAATTTTCTCCATCAAGTAAAGAAAAAAAAAATCTAATATTTCTTCTGATTGATAGAATCTACTATTTTTCAGTGGAGCACTGAGAAGCCAAACCTTTGTTTTGGTGAATCTCAAGGGAGATGAGTTTATTCAATCAACAGGATTGGAACTCCCCAATCCGAGGCGGTGATACTGAATAGCAGGTGTTAATCATAATCCATGATGACAACTGGGAATTCCTTCTCCTTATTAACCTGAATTGTGGCTGTTTTCCAAGAATCTTTTCTTTCTTTTTTTAGTTGAAGATATCAAATGAGAGATTGGTAACTAATTCAAAGAAGATTAGATCATTCTGAATAATTCCTGCAACTTTTTTCCTGTAACAAGATTCCTGCTTTCATGAACCATTTGACATTTTAAAGTTTTGACTGAGCATATCTTCCTCTTATACTTCCAACTGCAGGCCAGTGACCAGGCTTTATTTTACCCCAGACAATCTTCCTTGCAGTAGATATCAGTCATTTGGATAAGTTAACTTAACAAAAATCCCTTAGCTGTACTGCAGTTTTATCACATCACATAAATTCTTTTCTTCATCCTTCAGCATTTTATACCACTAATAAACTATGAAGATCTACTTGGGACAACTTAGACAAAATTCATTGAATTTCAGAAGTTGTTTGTACATCTTAAGTCCTCCAGCTATAACAGATAAGATGCAGATGTCAAGCATTGGTTAAAGACCTAAAGGGGGTTTTTGTCAGTTTTATGTCCCTTTTTTTCCCCATAACGACCTTCTGAAAGCACAAATAATTCTGGGTAATCTGTGACGTATTTCAGCATTGGTGAAGGAATCTCAAGCAGAAAAACTTCCAAGAAGCAGGCTTCAATTGTGTCAGAGCTGGGATATAAGCTTCCCCAGATAGGTGCTTGTGTAGGGTCTCAGATAGCTGGTGACTGACAGCAAGCCAAGCTATGAAAATGATTCATTGTCCTCCTCAAAGCAAAGGAAAGGGCCATCACCAGCAGCCAGTGGCTCTTTGGAAACAGTTCTCGAGAAGCCATAATTTCTGTCTCTTTGCAGTCCAATTACCAGCCACATAGGGTGGTGATAGCTGTGAGACTATCATGGAACATGGTGGTTATACAGATGTTTTTTTCTAGGAAAGCTGCCTTAAAATAAAAATTTCAAAAAGTTGTTATTTTCTGGACTTTATCATAGGCCTTCATACCTATACAAATAAAAAGAAAGAGCGGGGAGGCCAACAGGCCCAGCACAGCCTATTTGGGCTTGGCCAAAAGAATTTATGAGTCTGCATTTAGACCCAGAAAGCAAGGAGTTATTTTAAGATGCATTGACATAAAGGGACAGGACAAAAATAAAAGCATCCCTGACAGGAGTCACAAGGAAAGGATGAAGGCATAGAAAGCATTCTTTTTCCCTCTGGTCCTTAAAGTTATTCTAACCACTAAATATTAAAGTTGACAATATTTGGAATTTAACACTCAGATATGTGTGACTTCTCTCACTAAGCTGTTACCTACATATTCCAAGCCTGCAAACCATGACCAACTCAAGGAGTACTGTGTGTTGAAACCATACAAAAGAGCACCCTTTTTCCCTGAGGAGCTAATAAGTTCATTTCAAGTGCAAACCATCTCAGCAATGGTAATCTCTGACACCTGAGGTACTCTAACCACAACAATCATCCAAACCCTGGGAAACTGAGGCAGAATAACACTCAGCTGTT